TTTCATGTTGCCGGGATTTGGGATGCAGGAGTGAATTTCAGCTGGGTATTCACGCCTGTATTCTTCTTGACGCTCAGGCATGCGAATTGCCAGATCCTGGCAGCCTGCAATCTAAACTCAGAGGCACGCCTCTCTTGCACCTGCCTTAGACATATGTATGCACATGTATACATGCATTCATGCATGCACAAAGTCGTACACCCCGTCTGAGTCGCAGACCCACGATACCTCCGTACGAAACGCTAAGTCCTTGCGGTGCTTGCATCAAGCAAGTTCAGGCTCTCAGGTACAGGAGGTTCAATGATCCCAAACGGTCTTTTGGATTATCTTCATCAGAACTGCATGCAATGGCTCAGGCTCCACCAGTATTTGCACTTAGACACTGTAAGGCCAGTTCTGAGCATAGGCGTGGTTCTCTACATGCCTGGTGCAGGCTTTGGGAGCCCCAGGATTCTCTGGTGTACCTACCACGCAGGTTTAGGGTTTAGGGGGGTCTCCTTAAGACTTCAGGAAGACCATGGAAGTCGAGGTTCATCGGTAAAGCCCAGTGGCAAGGGCTACTGGTCAAAGAATTTGTAGCAGGTGGCGTCAGCTCAGTCTGTGCGAACTGCTTGAGCGTCCATCTTCGTGAGCTTACCTTAATTTGGGCCAATGGGGTCAAGCAAGGTTCCGATGTGTTACCATGGTAATGCTTCAACATGGCTCTCAAATTGGACATGTATGTTTGTCAGGTTGATTTCCAGAGCTGAACTACGGGCCAAGTGATAGCAGGATGGAAAGTAACAATCCTAGACAAAGAAATGGCTTGTCGGGACCAGTTTCCTAATACTTCCAACGTGTACATGCCCTGAACACTCGAGTTGAAATCCAGAGCTTTGCGCAGGATCGCTGCCTGAAGATCCCTCACTGTGTTCTACAGCCCACATGATCGGAGATTTTGCGTGTGAGCTCCCCAAATTCTCAGTGAGGTGATTTCCTTGACTAAGGCTTACACCCAAATCCTAAACACCACTCATTCGGGGAAGAGTCTTTCGACCTTCTTGAAATGCACACGTGGTGTTGCCCCCGGATTTCTACTTGTAACAAAACATTGTGAAGGTTCCATTCGAGAGACTTCTAGAAACCATTAACCAAAAATCGGCCTTCCAGCTAATGTGTCTTTCTTTGAGAGGGAACTTGGGATTCTTGCTATACACTACTCAACTGAGCCTGGCTACACCAAGTTTGGGACATAGGGTGATAATCTGAAGATCTACCCCTCAATCACAACTTATGGCTATGCTAGTGTCCATTTCCGGCAGTACTTGCGATTTCCGACCATGGTTGTGGTGGTGTAGGAAGACCGCGAATTTGTTACAATCACAAACAAACATAGCCTGTGAATAGCTTATAACCACAAGCAAACATCACCTGTCAAAACGTTGCTGCCCACATGCACGGGACCTACGGCCAAACCAACATGAGGCATCATGACTGGCACATACATATCAAAAGCCTCAATACTAGCCAATTGCACTTGCGCCTTTCCAAGCAACGGGCAGTAAACACTGGTCTTGGTGACACCCTCTCGGACATCCTCCGAATTGCAATCATAAGCCCTCAGCTATGTAATCATGCGACCCTATACCATACTGAACTCCATCGAGTTGGGCTTAATTTTGCAACGGAAAGACTATGACTATCACGCCAGGAGGTTTAACAAAAAGTTCTTTGCCCACATATATCCATCTTGCCACTGTAAAGCTGAATGCTACCTGGACGCCTCCCCAGCCTGCGGGCTGCTCCGGCATTCACGTCAACCCAAGGCATGTGTTCATGTTGGCGCGCGTAGGAGATCTTGCGGTAGATTATACACGGGCACCTGGCTGAGTACCTGGGGATGATATAGAATTTCTCACATATCTGGACCCTGCTCGAGCATTTTGGTGTCATTTTGTCACGCGAGCGAACGGGAGCAAATGTGCAACTTCTGCACGTGTCATGAGCTATGGCCTAACTCGCGGTACCCCCCTTGGTAACCCCTACAATGCTCCTCTATATGTTCCCCTATGTAACCCCCTGTAAGGAGTTTGGACAGCTCCCATGAACACTGATCACCAGCCTGGGGTTCGGGATGGTTGAGGCTTCCAAGTTTTGCCTGCAAGTTTGATGCCAGCTGCAATATAATGGTAGGATATATATACATATATATATATGTGTGTGTGTGTGTGTATGTGTGCCATCAATAATGGGGTTTAGGGTTAGCGTTTAGGGTAACTGTTAGAAATGTATACAGGGATGCCATCAATAAGGACCAAAAAGAGGTTGACCCTCGAGGGCTCCAAGAGGAACTCATCACTTGAAAGAAAGGCGTTGCGCGGGGGTAGAGGCTGATTTATGACAGGAGGCTGCATGGTGGAGGGCTCAGGGTCCTCGATGTGACCCTGTTGCAACCACAAGTGGGCATCCATTCTTGGTGACAGGACAGATTAAGATACAAGTTCCGCTGCGAGATCACCCCGCCGTACCTGGGGCATCTTCCTCCTTCGCTGTCCCAAGCCCCAAGCCCGAACCCCCAAACGTGAATCCCATCCCTGAAGCTCCGAAACTTCCTGGAATCCTCAAACCCGGATCCCGAAGCAGGTGGACTACTTTCGGCCGATTTCCTCACTTAGGCTTAAGGACTACCCCAGGCTTAAGGACCACCCCATGGTAGCATAATGTAGAAGCCTAAATGATTGCCAAGATTATGGTCAAACGTTCTGTGTCATTACAGTATAGGGCACCTCAAACAACCCTCAAAATGATAGCTTAGGGAAAGGCAGGGTTTAGAGTTGAGAGGTTGAGTTTAGTTTGGGGCATCATGGCTGCCTTACTTCAGGCCAGTATCCTTGGGGCTACTTGGGTGTATATGCCTGCATATGTATATATATATATATATGCACATATCTGCACACGCACACACTTGATGTGCACCTCTCTGACCTCTAAGACAAGGATGGTTTTGATCTGAGTTTTGATCTTGAATAATAGTTTTGCCCAGAGCCCTCCCAAACCTCAGCCTAAACCCTAAACCCTAAACCGCAACCCTCAACTCTAAACTGTTGCTAATCAAGGAATGCCTCCCTGATAAAGCTCTAGAGATGCCAAACCCAAGCTCTAGAATCTAGAATGTGAACCTAAAAGGTATTTTCCTAAATAAGGGGACCCCACTATAGACCCCCCAATACTATTATCCTTGTTAAAGTATAGGGACCCCAGAATGGTACGCGTAATTTTGGGAAACCCTCATATATCTCTTGAACTGTAAGCAGGAACTGAAGTTCAAGGTGTGGAGCTAAAAACAAGGGTTCTATTAGGGACTATTTCGGGGTTTTATTGGGGGTATATAAGGGTCATATTGGGATTATATTGGGATTATATAGGGATTATATAGGGATTATATTGGGATATTATAGGGAAAAAAGAAAGAAAATGGAAACTACCATAATGGGGTTATTAGGGTTTAGGGTTCAAGTCTATTGACACGCATACGTGAACATGTACGCTTAGCCAACACATTGCGCCCTAATCTTGACCGTATCAGTAGTGGAGGGGCCTAAGCAACTGGAATAGGGCCCGGGGCTACATTATAGCATAGCTATATGAGCTATAGTCTAAACTCCTAGTATCCCCCTTAATAAGCCCTATAGTAGTCCCCTATATAATCCCTATATAACCCCCCTTTAAAGAGTTTAGAGTATAGCTCATATAGGGATCATGCGGGGATAATCCTGTTTTATCATGCCGTGGACCTCAAAGTAGCTAAAATACCAGCCCACCACATCTGAGGATAATCCCCCCCCCAATATTTAACCTCTTCTAAGATTCAATCTTTTATAATAGACCACCAAGGGCAGTATTTGATGTTAGGGGCCCAAACCCTAAACCTTAGGGTTTTGGGGGGTTTAATATCACTTAGGGAGAGGGGATGAGTCAGCAAGGCCATCTGGTACAGACTTTGATTGCAGGTCAGGCTTACACACTCTACCCATAACTCTCCCGGACGCATTTTTTTGCGTAATGCTCGCCAAAACGATACTAGCCCGAAGCCCTGGGCTGTGAGATCACTTTGATGAAGCATCTAGCAGACAGTAGGTTAGGCTTTACTGTAGGGTTTAGCGTTTCAGCCCATGGCAGACAAAAGACATGAAGCACTTGATCTCCGTGCCAGGCTGTCCTATCTGAACTACGCTTTGTTCAAGGAAGCATGGGTAAGCCTTTGCGTGTTTCATGGCTTCTAAAGCCTGTGGAAAACTTCAGCCTTGCACCCGCTTCCTTGAAGCTTACAACGGGGTGAATCACACTTCAGCCACACGGCATGGCACAGCCATTTGGCGCATGCATGTAGCAGCTACACAACCAACAGCTGCGGCCTAAAAGTTGTTGTATCTCTATATACTAATGCTGCCACAGAGTAGGCGTAAAATGCGGATGTCTCTAAGGACCGCATGAGCAAGTACAACTGCTCAGCAGTTGAAGCTTCGCGCTCAGGCCTATTAGGTCGTGCCCATCAGGCTCTTCACACTGATGAGACGCTGCTTTCTGAATCCTCCTGGCACAAGCTGCTTCTTACTGTCATGTCTGGGGTTAGGGGCTGGGGTGTTGCGTGGCCACGTTCGCGCCTCATGTGACTCTCCAGTGCCTCCCATAATTGTTGGAAAGATCGCCGTACTCTCGCTGCGCATGGTGTTACGAATCTGCCTGCGAATTTTTTGTCCTGAGCAGTAAACAGAACTGCATACTAAAGGAGGATGAAAACACTCGTATAAGTGAAATAATATTACAAAAGATGGCGACGTCCAAGACTTTGTGAGCACTCAAACGCTTCGTGCCCACAAAAGTTGGATGCCCTGAAACCCATGCTTCTACTGACAGCTGCTCTCGTGTAAGCAACACTACAACATCCTTAACTTTCAAAAAAGCCCTCATAATAAACAAGCTGGCGAATGCACTCTTCTGGGTACCCTTGCCGAGACGTCCTCGGAATCGTCTTCTTCGTGCTCGCAGCAGTCGAAGCCTGGTCTCTTTGTTTGAAGATTTTTGAGGAAAAACAGACACCACTGCAAATCATGCCTCTCAATGTTATGTGTGTCATCACCACCACCACCACCACCGCCGCCGCCGCCGCCGCCGCCAACACCAACAAAGCAAAAGGATCCTCCTACCTTGACCTAGAACAGTGCAGCCGTCCTGTCACGTCAAATTCAGGCATTGTGGGGAGGGGATGGGGGAGGCCCTATAGACCCTAAACCCCCAAACCCTCAAACCCTCAACCCCTAAACCCCCAAACCCACAAACCTTCAAACCCCTAAACCCCCACACCTTCAAACCCAGAAACCCCCAAACCCACAAACCTTCAACCCCCTGAACCTTAACCCCTTTTTTTCTAAACCCCTCTGAGCTCGGAGCACATCCGTGCCACAAAGGGGTCGTAGTCCAGCTTCTCTCTATCCGTATGGCCAGGCTGCCTACCCAAAAAAAAAGTTCAAGGGTTTGGGGTTTAGGGTTTAAAAGGTTCAAGGTTCTAGGTCAGGTGGACCCCCCACCCAGTAATAGTGACTATACGGGATAATAGGGAAATCCAAAGGTTATAGTGATGTATCTAGTTTCCATTTTCTCTTCTGCCGGACCTTTGATAGAATGGTAATTTAGGAACTTGTGTCCTTGTCCAGTTCCTGAACTCTAAATCCTAAATCCGAAGCCCCTAAACCTCGAACCACTAAACCCCAAACCACTAAACCCCAAACCCTAAACCCTAAAGCCTAATTTTGGAAGGGGGGTTGAGGTTAACCTTAACCTTGAATCCTAAACCCACGGGGAGTGGAAAAGAAAACTGAAACTACCCCTAGTATTGTATCATCTGTGGTATCCTTCATACTTATCTTTAGGGGTTTTGGTGGCCAGTAGGATATGGGGGATGGGCTATAGGAACCGAGAGAGGGGATTATGTGCAGGCTGTCCATGGCTAGGCACTACCATAGTACACTACCAAGCATCAGGCAGATACAGACAAAGCTTGGATGATCTCAACCCTAGTTTGGTGGAAGAAGTTTTGAGCCCATGTACCTGCACTAGTTCTTCTCTTTTCTGAGACTTAGGGTAGTCCAGTATTTCCACCGTTAACCTTAGCATGGCAGCGTCTGTTGGGCATTCTTGTATGGACGGGGCCATGTTGTTCAGATTTGTTCAGATTCCGAGGGTCCTTGGGGGATATAACCATAGCTAAACGGCTCTCTGTCTGCTCAAGTCAACAAAAACCATTTGCCGTGACATCAAACAGGTGTACGGCTACCTAACAATATGAGCGTTGGTTCGAGACCGCCTACCTGTATCTCAGCTCACATCTCAAAGAGACCTCGCGATCCCAGCATAACCTCAAAACGACATCTTCTTCAAGTCCTTCATATATCCAACGTTCGGGTTTGCTTTTTAAGATGGCACCTATTGAACCTGTTGCCTACCTTGAAGTCTGTTTGCTCAGCGCTTGAAACTTGCTGACAAATGGTCACTACTCAGCAAAGAATACGACCATTGACCAGCTATACTGGCAACAGACTAGCTTGCCTAGGCCCGGAGACTCACAAGAATCAGAATACATAGGATCTGCACGAAGGGATTTATCCAACCGTCGGAAAACAGACATGTCATCCGCTGGATGATGCGTTGCGTCTCGTGTATATAAACACGGTTAGGGCTCAGGGCTGAAGAGTTAGCTTCTTCCTGGCAAAGGTCTAAACTTGAGGGAAACTTCACCTGTTGCACCTACCAAGCTACTCTCGGTTCAGGCTCCGTGCGAAAAACAGATTCATGATTTTGAGGCGAACAACCCGATCGTCGTGCATCTTTTGAATCCCTTACCTGAATGGGGTATATGGGGATCTTAATATAATATACCCAAAGCCATATTCTATCTACTTAAGGGGGGACTATATCCTCGAAATCACTCACCCCGGCAGGACAGCCTGTAGATGATCAGGTGGTGAATGCTGAATGTAGGACCTTAGGAGCTGCCAAGAGGCAAGTAGCTAAGTAGCTGCTGAGGGGGACCCTGAAAATACCTACCAAGGGTTGGAGGAACCCTAAACACTAAATCCTAAACCCTGACCCCTTGAATTGCCACAAATGTTACCTGTCAGGTTGCTTCAGGGCAATCTTGGTGCGCCAAAACAATGCCCGAGTCAAGTCCAGTGGTCGCTCTGAGCAGTGGATGGGGGTTTATTACGGTTAGGTTGGGGCTATATTGGGATAATGGAAAAGAAAATGGAAACTACTATAATGGGATTATATAGGGTTCAGGGTTTAGGATTCAGAAGCTCCAACCCTCGGCAATGGCAGACGGGGTTGCTGTTGAGGAACTTAAGCTGAGAAGTACTATAATGAGGAAGCTCTGAGTATTTACTATATACCCATATCATGGTAACTTAAACCCTGGAATTAAAGTCTCTGTCGTCATGATATGGGTTTGTAGAAAAAAAAAAAAGGGTGGCCTAATTTAAGGCCCCTAAACAGCAACCCAATCAAAGCCTTCACACTTCGCTGCACCCTCAGCCCCTGCCCGTCACAGCTCTGAGCACCCGGCACAGAAACTCGGACAAACCAGAAAGCAATACTAAGGGCGACAAAGCGAGGAAGATGATCAGCCTTGGTGGTGAAAGCTTAGAATCCTCCATAAATGGGGGTTTCCAAAAATTCCAAAAAAGTGGGTCCCTTATGTATTGGGAGTTCCCGGTCAACAGGGTTATGATCTGCACGGTACGACGTATGGCATGGGTTATTTGGTGAAGAAGAAAGCCCGTTGGAATTCGGAGGAGTCAAGGGGTTTAGGGTGTGTAGGGCTCGTTGTTTTACGAAACCTTTTTTGCGCCTTCGCAGTAAAGCTCTTAGCATTGGGGCTTAATGGCCTGGCGTCAACACCTCCCTTAAAACTTGCCGTCCCCCCTGTACAGCATGAGGTGGGTATTGCAGGTGTTCATGGTTCCAGGCTTTAGGCTTTCTAGGTTTTATAACAGGAAATCATGGCGCTGGTCTGAGAAATTTGAGCAAACGAGGGAGAAGAACCCTTTGGATTTAGGCCCCAAGAAATTTTAAGTGTTCACAAGGATCTCAGAAGCAGAGTTATACCGTTTCAAATCCATTTAATGGCATCCTACACTGGCCCTTCTTACTCACCCTCCCCAAATGAACCCCAAGTGAGGTCTAATCAAAGCTCATTTAAGGTGTCTTTAGGCATTACTGACTTCAACGCAGACGAGGCTGGATCCCTCTGCAACATATCCCCTGAGATGATGACGACACCAGGAAATCCCTGCTCATGCACAGCGCATCCACCCTGGGCGTGCAAGCAGCTTGGCGGGTTCACGAGGTGAGGTTCAAGACTTTAGGCTTCTTCATGGAGCTTAGAGTTTTGGCTTCAGGGTTGTGAATGGTGGCCTTCAACATTGAACTTCCTCGGGTGTAGACCACACAGCTCCAGTGCATCAGCATCAGACGTGGAGGCGTACCCATGTTTCTTGAAGCATGAAAGTCTCACACTAGCCAGGACTCACATATCTGCGAATTCATTGGTTGAACTTCAGTGTGGGCCGCAGCGGCAATCTGCGTAAAATCCCACTGCACCTGCTGTTCATGAATGTGTTTTGCTGGACTTCCCCTGCTAGTATACGTAAATACATATATGAATAATATGTATATATGTATATACAGATGTGCTTACAATTGCAAACTTCAGAAGGTGGCCCCACAGCGGGGATGCAATCTCGGCTTGTCGCGCGGAAGCACAACCCTGCATTGCAGCCTCTGCTATATGAGCCCTGGTTTTTTACATCTGCACTATAGGCAACCCTGTATGGGGAGAAAAAGAGGAGGAAGGGGATTTTCCTACCTACACGTCTTGGTGTCCCTCCTTGACTAAATTGCATTTTCTTTTCCATTATCCCAGTATAGCCCCAACACAATCCCTACATAATTTAGTAGTGTCCATTTTCTTTTCTATTACCCCAATATAACCCCTATGTAATATTATAGTTTCCATTTTTCCATTATCCCAAAATGAACACCCATCCAAGGCCGGTGCCAAAGTTCCAGCGGTCGACCGGCGGTGCCGAGGCGGGCGAAGCATTTGCTGCGAATGGCAGTCATGGCCTTCTGTGGTTGATACTGGAAAAAAGGAAACTACAGGGATTACAAGGTTTATATGATCATAAAGGGGTTATATAGGGACTATAGGGTTTATACAGTGGTTATCCCCATATGAGCCATAATCTAAACTCCCAGTATCCCCCTTACTGACCCCTATAGTAGTCCCCTAAATAATCCCCTATATGACCCCCTTTAAGGAGTTCAGATTACAGCTTATATGGCCCTATAGAAGCTATTGAGGAGTTTGGGCTTCAGGGTGTCAGGCTTAGGCCTCCTTGCATGGTTTAAGGGTTCAGGACTTTGCTAGTTACAAAGAACGAGCTAACGCAAGAATTCAAGGCACGCAACAAAACGTGTAGTTTCCAGGGTCTAGGTGTAGGTTCTACTCGAGTTACGGATTCAGAGAATTCAGGGCTTACGATGTAGGATCTACATATGTAGATGCTGCCGAGGCCTGTGAACTCACAAGCTCAAAGCCACCTGGTTGAAGGTCTAAGGTGCACAGAGCACGCTCTGGGGCTCTGGTAGCACCACCTGAACACCAACAGTATGTAAAATAATTACCTTTTGGGCTGTTTTCAAGGATTTAGGGCTATGTTTTTACCTACTTGTGGGGCCCAGGTACTTCTAAGGCCTGTACAGAACCTTTGTGGCATAAAGCGCGCTACAGTGGTGGGATCTGGAAGCAATCTGGACTCAACCATATGAGCTATGGTCTAAAACCCCTAGTATCATCCTGAAGAACCCCTATAATACGCCCCGACATAACCCTAAACCCTATATAACCCCAATATACTATAGTAGTTTCCATTTTATTTTCCATTATCCCAATATATCCCAATTTTAACCCCTATGTAATCCCTATACAATATAGTAG